TCCAGGTTCTGGCCTGCCCTCTGTCTCCAGCCTGTGAACTCCAGAAGGGCAGGGGACAGATCCAACTGGTGCAGCATTCACAGGTCCTGCTCCCTGCTGCTGGGGGACTCTTCTCCGCCTCACTGAGGAATTCACTGCTGCACGCGATGACAAAGTCGTGTGTGACCACCGAGGACTGTGGACAGTATCATCAGCCTTAACACTTTTTATCCCTCTGCTATTTTAAAGAATTCTGCTCCTTCTCTTCCTTTCCTCCACTCATCCCCCTCCTCCCAGGGAGATAGATTCCAGCAGGATTTTACAAAACTAAGGTGCTCTAAGGCAGAAAAACAGAAGTCTGCCATGACGTGCAGGTCTCGAGGCGTGGACGGCAGAGCACTGCTCAGAGTTTTGATGGAGGACTTGACCCGGGGTCTTTTTCTCTGAATTATTTCCTGATGTTCAAAGTGGCTCATGCTCTCACAGGAAATGTAGGAGTTATGAGAAAGTGTAAAGAAATAGAGAAACAACCGATCACCCGTAATGCTACCAGCTGCAGTGACCACTCACGGCGGTCTGGGATGTCTCCATCTGGTCTTTTCAGTATGTTCTTTATCGAGTCCAAATCACAGTATGTTTTTAGTGCTTTTCACTACACGATGCTCAGTAAGCCCTGTCCTGTGTGCACTTTTTTTTTTAATGGCTGCATAGTGCTCTGTGGCAGGGGACGTGACCTCACATGGGCCGTCTTCCTGTTGTGGGGAGTTGAGTCCACTCCTCTCCGTTCCGCCTCCTCCCTTCCCTTTCCACCTGTGTGTGATCCGTCACTGTTGTGTCGGCTGGGCCCTTGGGACACTTGCCTCCAAGGCAGATGACTGGACTACAGAGAGAGCACCTGGAGAGGTGGACGTGCATTCCAGGCACCCCTCTCCCTAAAGCCCCCAGCGCTTCTGCTCTCAGATCCTGCCAGCCCGGCTCCCCGCTTCCCCGGATTGTAGGTGGTGGCTTTAAACCTCGTGGTCTTATCAGTATAATATCATTTAATCTTCTTATCCTCAAATCTCATTCTGGATGAAAAATTTAAATCCTCTGCCGGATGAAATGCCAGGTCTAATCGGTTTATCTTCCAAATAGAAAAAAAAATATGAAAATCTTGAGCATTTTCACCGCTACTTTACAAAAGTACTCTAAAAAAATAAGGGAGTGCCCCTAACTATGCCATCTTGCTCATGTTTGCTGAGATACACATCTCAACAATGAAGTTCAGGGTTGGCTCCTAAAGGCCCCCCTCTGCTCGGAAATATCTAATGGTTCCTCATTGCCTAAGAAATTCCTTTGTGGCCCCTCCGAGCCCACCAAAACCTGGCCTCAACTATCCAGCTGGCTCCTTCTGCCACTGTGATCACTCACACACGCACACAGCCATTCTGCCACATCTGCGGCCACTCGCCAAGTGTGCACTTACCCCCGATGTCTGTGCCCCGACTGTCTGTGCTGCTGCCTCGGCTGGGAATGTTCTCTCTCCCCGGTGCCTCTGGTCCGCTCCCTCTCCTCTAAGACAAAGCGCACACGGTGTTCCCCGTGCTATGTCTTCCTGGCTCTGTCAACCGGGGAGTGTCACACCTTCTCTGGGCACTTGCTGAGACTCCTATTCTACCCCATTAGGAGTGCTGGGCTCAAACGTCGATGATTAAGTAGCTTCTGCTATTTAATCAAAGCTAACTGCTCAGAACTGCTTCCTCACGTGGAATATGGGGCAGGAATGCTCATCTCAGAGGGCTGCGGTGACAATTAAACAGGCTTAAAATAAATAAGCTTAATAATAAACTAAGCTTAGGATTAAATAAAATCAGATAAGCCCGGTTAATACTCATTCTCCTCTCTCCACTCGTTTCTCCTCCGACTGCCTGGAACGAGCTCTCGGTGCACATAGGTCTGTGGAGATGAGCTGGTTCACTAGGGCGGTGCTCCAGCTTGATGTCCCGGACACATGCACAATTCTGCTGTCTTAAAAACTAAGATCACTATTTCTCATAGGAGGTCAGGGTGGGCGTGTTTATCAAATATTATTTGGTCCACATCTTCTCTCTGCTCATCCAAGTGCAAGAATCAAACCTTGTTTTGTCTCTGAGTCTATGTTGTGTCACACAGTCTCCTGCGTGTGCAGGGCACCTGTGGATGAATGAGTCACCTGCCTTTACATAATGCCAACTGGCAAAACGTCCCCTTGCTCAGGTCTCAGAAAAGCTGCTCTCTGCTCCCCTGTGAGTGCAATTTTCCCCTTGCGGTCATTTAGAGGTGACAGGAGCTGCTGTAAGTGGCTGGACCAAAGCTTCCCTATGAAGCCACCTGACACTTCCACAGATCCCCAGGGCAGCAGATGGTCACTAGAAGGCCTGGAAGGGCTGGGGGCCACCCTGCTCTCAAGCCCCTGCTGCCAAAGCCACCTTCTTTGCCTAAGCTATTCCTTTGCAGCCTCGTCTGAGCTACAGGAACTGCAGAGTTGCCCACTCTTCCCAGGGAAGTCAGGAAGACTTTGACATTGCTGTTCTGGCTTCAGACAAAGTCTCATTTGCTAAAAACTTCTCTTGGATTTGAAAGCAGGTTGGTGGGGGTGCCAGGGACGGATGAGGAGGGAGGAAGCCACAGCATTTGATGGACAGAGGATAGCTTGGAGCTGTTCTGATGGCCTCTGGGATGACAAGGACATTGGGGTTGGAGCCAGAAGGACCGAGTTTGAATCCCCACAGCCCTGATTTCTAGTTTTGTGGCCCCAGCACAGACACCTGACGTAGCTGAGCCTTGCTTTCTCCCATTATAAAATGGGACTGCTAATAATGGCTGGCATTTCTCTGAGTACTCACTGCATGCAGGGACTGCTCTGAGAACTTGATGAATATTCATATTCCTTAATTTAATTTAATGGCAGCCATAGGAGGCAGGTACTGTTACTAGCTGTTCATACCCACATTCTACAGACCAGAAAATGAGGCCCAAGGAGGTTAAGTAATGTGCCCAAGGCTGCACCGCTGGGGTGACAGGGACTGTTCAGGTTGTCCACCTGTTGTTTCCCCGGCCACCTGCCTTCATCCAGTCCTTACCGCACTGGCAGAAGGGAGACCCATAAGGGTGAGCCCCTCCCCACCAGCTACTCTTTGTCCCTCAGAAGGGGCTAGGTTGGCAGGGCCTCCAGGTGAGTGTGGGTGTGGGGAGGGGGGGGTGAGCGTCTGCTCCCCCATTCCTGTCATGCCAGGGCTGCCACTAGAAAAAAAAAATGCCAAAACGTTTCCTGGAACCAGCAGCTCAGCCACTGAAGGGACTGGAAGGTTCCCATGGGGTAAGTTCAGAAGCTATAGGAGGGATGGTGGGGGTGGGGAGACAGACGGACCCCTCGCACCCTGGGGGCAGGAAGAGCCAGGTGGGAGGGCAGAGCTCTGGCTCCAGACGTGTTTCCACCGTGCACCTCCTCGGGGGCGGGTCCTCCCAAGCCACCCTTGTCTTTCTCTCCCTCTGTTGGTTTTCTCTCCTCTTTCCGCTTCTTTTCCCAGCTTCCTCCTGTCCTCTTTACCTTTCCTTCCTCCTCTTCCTCCTTTACTCGCCCTCCCCCACCCCATTTACTCTTCTTGCCGCCCTTCTTGGTTAGACAGATGTCGATCCAGTTTCTGGCTCTGAGCTGCGGGCTGAGAGAGGAAACGAAACCCTGCAGGGCTCTCGCTTTCTCTCTCCAGCTCCCCGCGGTTGCTCCTTCTGTCCTCCACCTCATTTTCTCCCCGCTACGCACTGTCCCCACAAGCCACCGGGTGACTGCAGTTTGATGCCAGCTCCGGGAGGCCGAGGCGCGCGGTGAGGGGCGACGCATCCCAGGAGGAGCTGACCCGATAGCTCGCATCTCCACTGCGCGGTGAGTGGGAGAGGTGTGACCATTGCAGGGACCGACCCGGTCGGGGGCAGAGGGGCTGGGACTCCCCTCCCGGCACGCCGCGAGGCGGGAAGAAAAAGCAAGGTGGCAGCAAAAAGACCCGCGTCCCCCTGCGC